TCAATTCCCTCATTATTTTCAAGTACCGCATCACCACCACCACCCGCCTCTCATCCATCGTCTTTCTCACCTCACTTCTCCGCTCTACTTTTCTGTACTAACTTTTTGTCTTTAATATAAAAGTAAATTAGGCGGTTAGATTTGGTCATAATCATACAATTTTAATTTGTTTTATTTTTTAAGTTTATAGTTTTTTAAAAAAATATTTTTATTTATTGTAAGAATTTCTACCGATATTTATTAAAAATAATAAACTTAACTAATTTTTTTAATGTTTTTAAATCAGTTATCTGGAAAGGTACTCGTATTTTACTTTGTGCTATTACTATTTTCCAAAAATTTTTTTTACCGGAATATTTCCCAAATTAACAACCATATTAAATCTCTACATGTAATCTAGAGATTAAAGATCGCATGTTCAAATCTTCGAAGAAGTATTTCTGCTTTCAAGATAAGACTGTTTATACTCGTCTTTTGCCAGAACTTGTTTAGAGAAACCTTATGCACCAGTTGCCTCTATATTAAATCGGACGTCACTCAGCCATTTTTATTAATTCCATTATTTACTTTTTCATTTTTTATTTTTATTCAAAGTACTAATCTAATGCGCTAAGCTTTGGTTCTACACACGCACACACTTCCATTTGAGCAATTCGGGTCCCTTGTGAAGCCATTACCCAAGTTGTTGGCTGAGTTAACGTCATATCTTGGGAATCAGTTTCGGTGTTTGGTGCTCATTCTTTTAATAAGCATTATAATAAACTTATCAGATCTGAATCTTTAATATCTTATTTAAATGGTTCAGACTTGATTTTTTTTTATCTATTCAAAATAATTATTTTAATATGTATGGAATTTAAAACAGTGATGATCTTTTAATTATCATTTTTTTCAAAAAATAATTTTTTCTATTTAAAAATAATTAATTAAAGATTTTAAATCTGAACCATTCAAATAAGATATAAATAGTCTAGATCTGATGAGTTTCTGGTGCTCATCTAAGTGATGAGCACAGAAACTGGTTCCTCACATCTTGTTAGACTTTTAATGTTGGCAGTCACATGGTCTGTTTTTTCAAATATATATATAAGTATTACACTAGTTTTTTCCCCCAAAAAATTACTAATATAATTATACAGTGAGGTGAAAAATATGAAGGAAGACTCTTGGAAAAGTATGAGAATAAAGACGAAAATTACAAGAAAATGAATTGGCGTGGCGTCTGGGGGCCTAATAAGAAATTGACTTTATGCAGATGGATTGATGGGAAAAAGTAAACGAAAGAAGACGTATAAGAATATTTCACCAACCTGCGACCATGTACATGTTTTTTCCTCTTGCCGTTGCGTACAGAATAAAAATGTTTACTTTTTCGGAGAATTTTGTCAAATGCCAGCCTCCATGCTTTCCCTTTCCTTCCAAGACTTACCCGAGCCTAATTCCTGGCTGAATTTTCCATATACAAAATGAATTTTGAGAAAATAAAAAATATGAAAAAAAGAAAGTAATGTTTTTATTATTAGAGTTTTTCGATATTGATGCGTTACAATTTTTCCCCATCTCACTTCCCTTAGGCATTTCTCGTCGTCCTTATAGGGTGTTTCTATGATCTGGAACCTTAAACAGTCGATTAATCATAACTTTTGAAAATAATTAATTAAATTTAATTCTTCAGTTACAGGTTTTTATAGGGAACGTCTAAAGTGGTTGTGTCTGACTTTAATTTCTTATATTTAATTAAGTATAATGATCAGCATTCTGAAAATTGATACTCTGAAATAAATATGAATCAATTATATATAATTAGTGTGTTGGCCAAAAAAAAATACACATAATTAGTGGTGCAGAATGACATAAGGGCTTCAAATTGTGGTTTGACCCACAATATTCAACTCGGTTTTACCCGCCACAATTCAACCTTGTCATAATAAAGGCACGATTCCTAAAACAAAAGGGCATTAAAATGTCGTAATATAGAGTGTGCATATATATATATATATATATATTGATTATGATTCCTTAATAAATTTGACTACTCACGCCCAAAAAAAAAAAAAAACAGTTGCTACGACGTATGCTTACAAATTAAACTATGGTCTTTCCAGCCAGTTGTCCCCCTGCGGATACTCTATACCACAGTTTTTCATTTTCGGCTTGGTTGATGATGTATTTTAAAATATTTTATTACGACGCTTCAGTCGTCTGATCACTGCATATTTTAATTTATATTACTTACTTCTTTTTTTATTTTTATAAATCAGAGTATTTTGAAATCGTTTTGGACATGAGAAGGAAAGTTCAAGTTAAAGTTCTTCTAATAAATACGTTTTCTGAGATTCAAACTTATGTTATCCTCTTTATAAGAGGTAAGATTACTTACAATGTCAATGTACTTTCGTCTAAGTTATATACACACACTCTGTGCCAGATATAAGACCTAATATCAAAAAATACGCAAATTAAGGAGGTATCCAAATCTATGTATTATTAAAAAAAATTGAACATAAGTATTAATTAATTAATTATATCTAGAAATCTGTATATTTAGGGCTCATATTTAAGAATGGAGGAAGTTATACACTTATGTGGTTATGCCTGATACAACTTATTATAGTTTTTGTATTGTTTATATATCATATATGATACTTTTGATTGATGATTTTTTTTAAAAAAATTCGCATTTTATTTTTTGTCTCAACGAATATACCTGTGTTTTTATATGTCGAGAAATTGTAAATATTCAGTCGTTTTTTAATACATCCCCTAGTTGTATTTGTTTAATAACTTACATGCAGTTTTTAAGTCAGAGTTTTTGAGAGAGACAATAATCCAATTTAGCTTTTTGGATGAATGTTAAGGAGGTGAAGGTGATGCAACACATATACACACATATCAATTATTGTAATATTCACTAATTAAGAACATTAATTAAAGTTAAATTGTCGCCGGAAGATTCTATTCTATTTACTCCGTATTATTTTTAACTGAATTTGCTCTATATTTTGGGAGTTCAGTAATTGTTTAATCAATCCATCATTAATTTTTATTTTTAAAAGAAGCTCTTCAACTCCAATTATATTTCATTTGTTTTCACTAAAACATCCAATTTTTAATGCCTTTTCTGTAGTAAAAAATGCAAGTACTATATTAGGGTAGGAAAATAACTTTATGCTTTTCAGAGAGTTTATGACTAATTTGAGTTAAGGCCCCTTTAGTTTTTTTATTCAAAAAATTAGTCCTTAAAAAAATATATGATAAACTTTAATTAAGATTTTCGCAGATGACATATTGCTAATGTAAGTAATGCTGTCTCATCAGTATGACAATAATAACATTTGGTAAATAGTTATTGTTATCAAAATCGGCCATAATTCTATAATTGACTCCTTAATGAAAAAATTATAAGAATCTTGATCTGAGTTGATTAAGTACAACTTTAGGGAATTACAAACTCTATTCTCTCTGGGAGTGGAAATAGGTCAGGTTAGACCATATTTTATCCTTAACAAGCCAGGTCTGTTTAGCAACAAGCTGGCTTGAACCTGACCTGTGACTTGTTATAGGTGTTTTTTTCAGCTTGAGTCTGGCCTGGCCTAAGCCTATTAAAACAACTTGTAATTTTAAAAATTTCAAAATGCATGGTAAAAAATACATAGACTAATAAAAAAAAGTAAAATATACATACTATATAATAATTATTTTTATTGTTATATTTTATTTAAATTTTAATCTCATAAGTAATATTTGAAATTATAATTACGGTTAATATTATTAAAAACAAGTCATAAGTATATATATTAAAAATTGAAATAAGACTAGATATAAGTACCAACTTAAAATTTAAATTAAGATAAGTAAGCAGACCAAGCCAAACATGACAGGATTAACAGGCTTTGGGCCTCACCTCTTAGACTAAATAGACCATCAAAGAGGGCTAAGTCTTTTTCTGTTTTGAAACAGATCAGGCTAAATATAGGCTAGGCTATAGGTTCTTAATAGATCGCTTGACCTGTTTTCACCCCTAATTCTCTCTATCGGAATTTTATAATTGTTTTAAAGATTTTAATTTTTGGTTTGTTGCTTTATTGTATGTTCAATCTTCATTTTTAATTCGAAAAAAATGTTTGACTTAATATTTGAATCCATTATAGTCTCTGTGTGTGTATATAAAATAATTTTTTTTGCCAACATGTATATATATATATGTAATAATAAGTTAAAGGAGTGAAACTATAATAATTATTCTATGATTATCTACTCCCAATGTACGTAGAAAGCATGTTTTGATTACCAATATGTGTTCATGGAGGTTTATGATACGCCCTTTTATCCTTTTTATACGATACTTTTATTCTTTTCGCCCAATGTAAGAAAAGAAAAGACTATTAGGGTAACTCATTAGTCCTATTTAAAAAAAAAAAAATCAATCTTATGCATATTTAAATTCAAGTTTTATTTTTCCAAAAAAAAAAAAGCAGCAAACATTAAAAGGAGGTAATATTAAAGGGACGTCCCGATGGAAGGAAACAAAGCAATTAGTTGAGGAAATTAAATAGCACCGATCAAACATTAATAAGTTAATAAAATTTATTAAAAGTTAATTTTCAAAAAGCATTTAATCTAATTATATTTCTTAGAGATTAATTTTAAAATAGTCAATTATTATTGATCTAAGTGCTGATGAGAGAGTGCAGCTTTCTTTTTAATGAGATTTGTAGAATATAATTGATTGATTGTTGATAGCAAACCAGCAATATTCGGCAGAGAATATATAATTGAGCATTTTAACCAAATAGAGTCAAAACTCAAAAGAGAAAGTAAATAAAAAAAGAATCGAAGAAATTCAGTTTTTTTTTCTTTGTTAAAAAAAGACGCTTTTAATTCTCCCGTCTAATCAAGCGCTCCCTGAATTGTCCTGTTGCCCTCATTCTCCCTCAACCTGGTCTTTCACTCTTCACCTCCCAATATAAATATTGCGAAGTTGCGAACCGTTTTAAATTCATTTTCTTCTCAGAAAGAAGAAGAATCTGATGCTCTTAAGAAGCAGCCACACCCACCACCATCTTCACTAACCAGCCATGGCGGAAGATCAATTTCAAGCCACTGGAAACTGGTGGGACTCAGCCAGAAACTCCAGGTTCGAAACTGAGGCTTCTCAATCTTCCTCCTCCATCCCCAACTTCGCTTGGCAACATACAGATATGTCGTCTCATCAAGACCTCAAGCCAAGGTCTTCCATGGCGGCTTCACCTTCTTCCTCCGACCCCAACCTGCATATGATGGGTTTAGGCCTCTCTTCCCAACCTCTGGACTGGAATCAACCCTCCTTTCTGTAAGTGCAGCACTCCATAAAGATCTCCTTTCTTTTGATATTATGTTAATGATGAGTACGGAACTTGATTCCGTGAGGAAAAGTCTGTAACTTTGTGCATGTCGTTTAGCCGAGGTGCAGAGAAAGGTGGGGAGAGCAGTTTCTTGAACGCATCAAGCACGAATTTTCAGCAAGAAAGTGCCATGGGGTTGTCTCAAGTTCAGTGGAGGGACAAGTTGTTTTCTGCTGAGTCGTCTTCTTCAACGAACGAGTTCAAACAAGTAAACCGGGGTTTCTCTTTAGATCAAACGCAGTTTAGTCCTCAATATAGTTCTGGGGAAAGTACTGTAACCACCCAAGGCTTAGCATCTAGTACTAACTTTCAGGTGGATTTTTATGGCAACTCATCCATATTACAAGGACTATTACCACCTGATCATAATAACAATAGTCAAGTCCAGTATGATCATCACCAGAATCGCCAGATAAACTTTCCATACCAAACAAGCTACGGATTGAACAGTAACGATCAGTTAATGCCTTCATGGTCTAATAAAGTTCCTCAATTTCTGCGAGCTTCACCTCCAAAACAACAACCACCCCATAATAACAATCAGTTGCATTTCACAAACAACGCTCCTTTCTGGAACGCTTCTGAGGCCTCAAATATTAAAGATGCTAGATCTGGCTTCTTTCCCTCTTTGCAACCTCCATTCCCTTCTCCAAGCTTCGATGTTCAATCCAAGGTATGGTTCATTACCATCACATACTCTATAATATCTTTTAGTGTGCGTTTGTGGTTAATGCATTAATGTACCATAAACGTGAGGTTTTGCAGAATATGTGTGAAGTTAGGGAGTCGAGTAGCGTGGTGAAGAAAAGTGGGAGCGAGGCAGCACCCAAAAGGCCTCGGAACGAAACACCGTCTCCTTTGCCAGCGTTTAAGGTAATCAATTCGTTTTGACAAGAAAGGACGTTTTATCTTATCATCATTGTTGCTGTTTCTTTTCTTTTTAAGATTTTGTCTTTCGTTGCATCTGAATCCATAAACATGGATATATGAAGCCGTAGTTCGGGTTTTAATTAACAGGTAAGAAAAGAGAAGATGGGGGACAGAATCACTGCGCTTCAACAATTGGTTTCGCCTTTCGGAAAGGTGATGAGAATGATCATTCATTTACCCCTCGCAAATTTCATGATCACAGAATTATATATATATATATATATATTACATATACGTATACACACACACACAATTGCAACTTATATCAATGGGTTTTGAAATACTTTGTGATATTGTTTGTGCCAGACCGATACAGCCTCGGTGCTCTCTGAAGCCATTGAATACATCAAATTCCTCCATGAACAAGTGACAGTAACCCCCATTACCTATTACTGTGCAATTATATGATTAAAATAATAGCACAAAGCTTCGTCTTATCCTTACATGCTTTTCTTTTTCTTTTCTAGGTTTTAAGCACACCGTATATGAAAAGTGGAGCTCCCATACAGCATCAACAGGTAATAATGATACTAGTTTATAGTTTTAAATCATCACAACCTATAGAACAGCCGTGTTTATTTTACGTAATTTTTTTTTAAAAAATATAAATACAGAGTCCTGGTAAATCTAAAGAAGGCGACGGTGGGAAGCAAGATCTGAGAAGCAGAGGTCTATGTCTGGTGCCGATGTCGAGTACGTTTCCAGTGACTCAAGAAACCGCAGTTGATTTTTGGACGCCAACATTCGGAGGAACGTTCAGATAACTAACGGTGACAAATTGGTGCACGAAACTAGGACACAAATATCTTATCAAACCTGTTCAAGTTGGGGACGATAAGATTTTCATAACATCAAAGATAGAGAAGACACAGAAGCCCACATAAATTTGTAAAGTTGTCACCTCTGCACATCTGGCTAGAGAGAGAGAAAGAGAGGGAAAATGTGATAGCAGAGAAGGAAAGGAGGAAAGAAAGATGAGATGACCCTCCAAAAGAGAGAGAAAAAGGCCATTGTTGGGCCAGCCGAATGCAGAATGATGCAGGGTGTGGCAAAATATTGGGACCAGCTGAACCATATTAGTTTGTAATAATTGAAGAATTATATGCTGAGGGTGGCAAAGTGTGATTAGGAAGGACAAGGTTGCTCAATGTAGGGATTGTTGTTAGACTAAACTAGAAGGAAATTTGTTGTTTGTAGGAGAAAAAAGAGAGCTATTTTTTTTAATTCCATGTTACTACATATATTGCTAATATAGTTGGCACTGCCTTAAAAAAAAAAAAATCTAATCCGAAGGAATAATTGAGATATAGTATTCAATATAAGACTGGTTAGTGTGAGGATATGTTTTTGATTGGAAATCTCACTGATTTATTTATATCTTTAGAATATGTAAGTGGAAGTCAGAGGGTGGCCCACACCTTCTCTTCCCATATTTTAGTTTCAATTAACTTTCATGTACCAGAAATAATTTGCAATAAAATATATATCTTGCAGATGCTTTTCGCACATGCTTCTGTGCTTTATACCGAATGGTCACATAAAGGGTCTTCTATTGGAAGTATATGGAGGGAAGAGAGAAAACCCCTCGTTACTTTATCCTCTTCAAAATTCAGAAAAGGCCTTTCTTTCTTTTTTAATATATATTAATTATGCGCAATATTCTGTAAATAACTTCCCTGTAACAGAAAACTTTGAACCAATATTTCGGAATAATAATACATCGTTAAAAAAAAGACCTTTAAAGGTATTCTCCTCTGATCTTCCTTTTTTTTTTTTTAATTTTTGTTTACAGATATAATGACAACAATCCAAGCTACATGATTGGCACATATATTTGTAAATTCCGTCTATGAAAATAAAAAATAATATTATATATGACTATGTTATTACCTTGAACGTGCTCGCAAAGTTTTCTGATTTTAAACTTGATCACTTTACCGGTTGAGTTATGACTTTGCAGCTATTGGACGGAGAATGATTACTAATGTTGCTCCTGGGCCAGGGAATTGGAGCCTTCTGATTTAAAGTACTTTACCAAATCTCACTTTCTAACTTGTGCAGCAAGATTAGAACATATATTAGTGCAAAGAAAGAGCATCTAAGCATTAGTCATTATTATGCTAACAAAGCTAGCCTGTCATGGGGCTCCTTATGTTTCCCTGTATTACTTTCTGCAAATTTTGTCTTCATTAAGAAACTGTCAAATGTGACTTCAATGATTCAATCTTTTCTCTTCCGTCACAATAGCCTGAGTTTGTACATTCATCTTACATAGATTGTGTACAGTGGGAATCTGTTATCATCCTCCTGATCGACATGTTTATTTATGTGGAAAGATCCTTTGGCACAAAGATATACAAGTAAACGAGGAGCCCCTCAATACTGTTTCTTTCTCACTACTATATAACGATCAGTATGTTCAAGCGCAAGGATTTTGAAAATAACTGGTGTTTCGGGTCCTGATATTTTTTCCGCAGTGGATTTTTGTTTTCTCACTGTTTGATTATCATGTTCACAGTTCAGGAGTGATTGTTCCCATGAATATGCCGCTTCCTATCTAAGGACTAGAAGACGGTAAATTTCATTTTACATTATTTTAGCACAGTTACCTTTTTTAGCTGTTAAGAAAACTCCTTTCCTTTGTCTTTAATAGTTTGTGTCCTGATGCTAAAACATGATTGCTAATAAGTGAATGTTAGACGTCAAAGTTTATGGATCAGAAAGTGGAAGAACAGAATCTTTAGGTTATTTTGGCCTCTATGAAATGTCTAATGATTCCATAATTTCTATACCTTTTTACCTAACACAAAGTCTGCGGATAATTTTTAGCTTAGATTTCACTTATTGCTCTTCATCATGCTGAGCATTTATATAAACAGGTGATAAAACAGTGAGCTTAGCTTATTATTATATTATAGAACTTGACCTGACACCATAGTTAACTTTACTGCAGATTCCATTACCAGATTTTTTTTCCTGAACATGTCATGTGTATGTCAGATCCTCTTCATCATGTTTTGAAAACGACAATGCCATAGGAGACCCAAAACAAACTGTTGCTAAAATTCATGGGCGTGGCTAGCTAGTTACAAAAAGATAATAGGCAGGTGCCTCTGTGAAGAAATGGTGGTATTAGATGCTTCAAAGCCACAAGTAGAAACAAGTCGACGCAAACCAATGATGGGAAGGGGTAAATGGGACATAAATGGACAAGAATACACAAAAGCTCTGTGAATCACATGTCACTGTGTTTCTTTCACAATAAAGAGAAAGGATAAACAAGTATGTATCAGAATACATTTCCTTGCTGTGTGGCCACTGCCTACTTAGTGTCCCCCTGGAGGGTATTATCGGTACTGCCATAATCAAAATTGGTCAACCAAAAATTGATAGAGATAAAGGAAAATGTTGAGAAATCATGGACAAAGTCTTATCATTTTATTTGCTTGCTTATTGGAACTAGAATTCATGAAAAGGGAGTACAATAGAAGGAAACAGGCATTTTTTCAGACAAAAATGAAAGGACAATACAATACAATGCAATACAAACTTTCTCACATTCGCAGATAGCAACAACCATTTGGGTTGTGTAACACCCATAGAAATCATTTCTATAATAAAGAAAAATGAAAATAGTTATTACTTGCAAGCAGATCAGAAAAATAGAAATTTTACATTCTATGGCTAAAAAAATGGGAAACAGTTTTAAAGCAATAATTTTGTATCCATTTATCCTTGATAAATAGTATGTCTGGTTGACCTAACATTATTATGCAGCTTGCTTGAGCTTCTTTGTGATGGTGGCAATATATTTTCCTTGATGGAATGCTTGCTCCAACTCCAGCTCAGTCGGCTGTCTTGAGCCATCACCGGCAAAAGTTCCTGCACCATATGGACTTCCACCTTTCACTTGCTCCATCTCGAACATGCCGGCGCCAAATGTGTATCCAATTGGGACAAATATCATCCCATGATGAACCAGCTGAGTGATGGCAGTTAACCTGTCATAAAATTCATAATTTCTTAAAACAATTTTCTTTTTCGTTATCCATTTTGGGATTTGATGAGGAAACTAAATTCTCGAGGAAAGGCTCTTACGCTGTAGTCTCTTGTCCACCACCTTGAGATCCAGTGCAGAAGAAGATCCCAGCAGGCTTGCCTGCAAGCTGTTGTGTCCTCCACAATCCTCCAGTTGCATCTAAAAATGCTTTGAACTGAGCAGCCATCATTCCAAATCTTGTTGGAAAACCAAAAACAAAACCATCAGCCTCTGCTAGTTCATTAGGAGTAATGATTGGGACATCACTCTTGGGTGGCGCACTCATCTTTCCAAGCACCTCCTCTGGTAGTGTCTCAGGTACCTGTTCAGAAGCTCAATAGAGTCAGCCTGGTTGCTTCATCTTACTTTTCCTAATGAATTCTTTAATGTCCGTCCCAAAATTAGCAAGCATGAATCAGGAAGGCATTGAGACCTTTCTACCATAACGAAGGAGCTTAGCCAACAGAAAGGAACAACAGTATTGAGTTAAACCAATTTCATAGTGAGGGTATCAACCATAAATCTGTTTCATAGAGCAATAAGCCTTCGCTATGGGACTGGTTTAGCTTGCTGATTACTTTTTCATGCAGTGAAAATTTGCAATGCATGGGAATACGAAATTAAACAGACACATGCCTGCCATAGTTTAGCCTCAACTCCTTCTATAGATGAAGCTCCTTTCTTAATTTCTTCTGCTAGTTTCTCCACATGTCCATACATTGAGTAGTATCTGTCAAGTGATGTAACATTTACATTGTGTCAATAAAGCTTAAAGGAAATATTGTCAATCAAATAGATAATTTATATCTTAACTTATCCAAACACAGGAACGCCTTACTTCCATAGGAAAGTTCGTTTCAAAGGTGAAATCATATGCTATAATTGCAGCTTTGCCACTTCAATAATTTATAAGACACAAAGATAACTTGAGATATTTGTCTCTCTAATTCTGTTAAAATGACTGTTCTGAACACCCCAAACTGACTTTTGTAGCCAAAAGAACGCCCAAACTGACTTGATGATCTCATAATATTGATAACCACTTGGGCGTTTACAACTACCAGGATAGGAAAGTCACAACTCACAAGTATAACTAACAAGGATAACATGTGTCCATTGTTTGACACGGCAATACAATGGGCGAAACCTTCCAAATAAAAACAAATCTGAGACTGACCGTGCCCAAATCTTGAAAGAAAACAAATTTTTAACTCATTGCTTTGCAAGATCTTAGTGAAAAAGGACAACGGCAGTTTGAGACAAATCCGGAATGAAAACAATCAACAATCAATTCCTCAAGCATACACAAATGGACTTGGCATCTAAGCACAAAAGGTGGAAGAATGGTGGTTGGATAATTTCAGCCGCTCTAACTTAATATGGGAAAAGAAATTACATTTATTATAATAATAATAATAATTGAAAAAATTCAAAGATTTATCTGTACATATAGTTGTCTCTTGCAGAAATTCAGTTCAACGCAGAACGATGAATTGTGCTCTGTTATCGTTCTGATTATTTCGAAATTAATTGCTTCAAGAGGAAAAAGCTACAGACAGGATCGTGTAGCAATACAGTTAGTTACGGCAGCTAAGAAATAAAGAAAGAAAAGGGCTTCCAACATTGTGGGTTGTTGAGCTGTACCCAGCCCGCAGTACACAGTAGAATAAAGGAAAGAAGTTTTTGTTCTGTTCCTCACTTATCAAACAAATAACATCTTCAAACAGAGAAGAAAATAAGAACAGGGTGACAAAAAGAATACATCAGATCGCAGAAAATTATGCTCACAGCTCAAACTCAAGATCACCAAAGAATTTTCAAAGACATTAACTTTCAATACCAAGAGAAGGAAACCCAGTCCTTTGAAATTGCAGATAGAGAACCAAGAAAGGCAGACTGACATTGATGGGGAAAAAGAACTAATGACAGAGACAGTTCAAACCAGAGATTGTCATTGAAGATGAACCAGTATAAAAATGGAAGAAAAGAAATTGAAGATAACAGAGGAGTAGAAATGCATACACAATATAAACTTTGACAGCCATTGATGAAGTCCTGGAAGGTCTCTGTTTCTTTTGGGTGTGTGTTTTTCTGCGATCAGTTTTATCAGCAATAGAGAAAATGGGCGATCGTGAATTGGTGGGGAACGCGAGGCGTATATATAGTTGCTCATTGGACCAAATTAAAGCAGTGCGACTTTTTTTCCCAAAAAAAAAAAAGACTTTGATTAATTTTTAGCCAAGTTATATTTCACCGATGAACACTTGAACGAACAGTGTAGTTTGGGATAAAACGGCACCGTTGCATGGGAAAAGGGGAGGTAACAGTGTGAATGGGACGGAGAAATAATGATGGGAGGGTGGTGTCACGCTGATCATCATCGTCTTGGTCGTCTTAAGCAAACCCCAAAGCAATTCTCTAGATTCTAGAAGCTGT